TTTGTATAATATTATTATAATAATATTATTGTATAATAATAATGAAGTCCCTTCAGTGAAAGGTGACTGTCAAAATTTAAGGTAAAAAAACCTAACAAACCCCACCCAAAAACTTCTTTAAAATTTTAAAGATAAAAGGATTGTCCTTTTTTAAACAAGGACAGCGTACAGTGCATGCCAGTGAGGAATAGATACATTGCAGTGATCGCAGCCACTTAATCTTATGTGCCATTGCCATGGCATGCTGAGAACTTGCTCTTTCCACTGTATCATGGTGCTAAGGCAAGTCATGAGAGCTAACTGACTTCACCAACTCTTTAGCGTTTTCCTTTCCCCACAGCTCCATATCACTGTGTCCCTGAGCTGGCGTTCTCTATGCGTATTGCTACCTAGGTCATTCAAGAGACCTAATTGCCTCTAAACTATGGTTTACCAACACCTACTTGACATTAATGGCACTTTCTTCCTGAGGTACTAAATAACAGGAGGGTCTGTAGTATGGATTTCTATAAATTTTTGATCTTTGTGTAGCTAAGCATGACCTTAGCTTTATTTTTTTGCCAAATAATTAAAATAGTGTCAAAGCCTGACTTCTGTTTAGAGGAAAAAAAATGGTTTTTTTAAATCTCTTCCCTCCTTGTTCCATAGTTGGGTTGAAGTGCTATGTTGTTGGCATCTCTCACTAGCCCAGTAACAGATTACAGTCACAACCAAAGGCCTAGGACTTCACCGCAGGATGGGGAGGAGGAATGGGGTGAGGGAGGAGTGTTCCAACTCCACTATGTATGCCAGAATAGGAGGGAAAATGTGGCTGCCACAGAGTTTCAAGGACTGAACCCTAGTTTCAAGGTTTTCTCCTTACAAAGCCACATGCTGGCTCTGTTGTGAGAGAGCAGATATCCCAGCTCAGGTTCCCTTCCCAGGGCTAGCACCCTTGTTTATATATACTTGACAGTGAATGAAAGTGTGTGCAGCAGCTGCCCCTTCTGTATATGTGCAGTTCTACAGGGACTGAGGGTCTTGTTTGGCCTTGCACTTGGCAAGTGTGAAGTGAGGTGATTGGGGAAGTAAGAAATAAAGACTTGTAGTTCTTTGTACAGTTTCTCATGTATCTTCCTCTTTTTTATTGCATGTATTTTTAGAGAGACTGTGTAAGAACTAATCTGTTTTATAATGCACTTTGAGAATGAATGGGAACAATTTTCCTTTAGAAATACCTTTAAATAATTTGCCCATAAATTCCAGTTCTCATGAATCAAACTTCATTTCCATCCATTATGCACAGGAAGTCTTGAGTACTTACTGATAACTGCTAAAAAGAGAAACATTAATTTAAACTGTCATTTTCTGTCTCTAGAAGCTTTTTAGGTAATCTTGAAATATACAGAACTCCATGCTTTTAGCACAGAGGACAAGTAATTTTTAAAAACAGCCAGGGGTATATCTGGAGCCTGCAGGGAAAGGTGTATATGCTTCAGTGGTCTAGTACTTGGCAGGGATAAAGGTTCTGAATTTTCTTTTTCTACAGCTCCAGCTTTTTGTGTTCCTTGAGGGGAGGAGTGTGCGAATATGGCAGCAGAATGCAAGTGATCATACAGTTTGTGGATACCACTAATTCTCTTTTTTTGTGTGCCTCCTTACAAAGGAGGTTTTTGCTTGTTTGTATTTTGGAATACGTAGGCTCTTAGTGCAAGCTTTTTGTTTTGGTTTGGTTTTTTAAAACACTAGACCTTTTCAGACTAGCTTCTTAACCTACTAGTAGCAATGTTCAAGGCTGTCTTGCAGTAGCAAAACAGGATTTTCCCCACTCTTCCAGCCTATACAGCAAGACGCTTCTGGGACGAGGGCCTGATGTTGGATGGTACGGTGTTTTGCTTTGATCCTCGGAAGTCTGTGGGATGTTATGGCCAAGTGGCTTTGAAGGGCTTCTTGTTAATGGAATGACGGCACTGGGATGCCCTTGTGTTGAGGAAAGGAATAAGGCATATTTGTGAATGTTTCTGTTTTACCCAGATAACTAATGAGTCTCCTTTGAAGGTTTAAGGGATCATCTCCTAAGGTTTAATATGGCTTCTCTACAACAGATGCCAAGCTAGTGTGAATTGAAACTTCAGCACTGGTTTGACCCAAGGTTAATGCAGTAAATCGCTACCTACTTTATTAATTTCTGATTTCTTTCTAGGGAGAACTGGAGAGACAGTTGCTTCAGGCTAATCCCATCCTGGAGGCCTTTGGAAATGCCAAGACAGTAAAGAATGACAACTCCTCAAGATTTGTGAGTATTACAATCCAATGTGGGTGCCAATATTCTACACTTCCCAGAGGGAAGACTTGGTCTGCTTTTGGGTGAATTGCTGTTAGGGATAGGACAACTGTCTGAGTAACTTCCCTCAAATTAATCTGGGAAGTGAATTTAATTCAGTGAGTTGTCCAAAATAGACCTGATAGGTCTCTGGAATGAAGGAACCTGACCCTGTGCCAGGATCATCTATGCTGATTTTTATTGTAAGTTTATTACAGTCAGTTTTATCTTGGAGAGCAAATACTGGTCCTTCTTTTACTTGCACTGGAGATCAATGGACAACATCTGAGAGGTAGATGGGGGAGCAAGAACTGGAACTAAATGAAAATGGTTGAAGCTAACCTTGAGGGAGGTGGAACTACCCAGATCATATAGCACGTGAAACTGAAGGGACCCCGGTTGTGGGAAATCTGGGCTGAAACATAATGAACTTGAATTGTAGGCTGTCCGAATGTCAGAAATGTCTGAAAGTGTTTGGTGTCTTGTTTGCTAAATCGCTGTTGTGATCAGCAGGCATTGCCTATTGGCTGACCTTATGTTTTGCCTAAAACTTGCCTGATTCGTTCTGAATTTCCTTTCCTGGATTAGAAAAGGAAGGTTTACCTTTGCTGTTTACTGCTGTTACCAGATAGAATGAATACTAATTTTAATGCTATTATCTTCCTCTTAGGGCAAGTTCATCAGAATCAACTTTGATGTCAACGGCTACATTGTTGGAGCCAATATCGAGACCTGTATCCTTTCTGTAACAACTTAAAAGGAGAAGTTCAAGGCTATAGAGGTGGCAATAATGGTACCTAGCAATCTCTTCACAGCTGACTTTCTGTTTGTCAGGTCGAGAAAATGGTAGGAAGCACTTAAATTTATGCTAGCAAGACTACTGTTGTAGTCTCCTGACATAGACAGTGGGATTGAGTGCACCCTCAGCAAGTTTGCAGAGGACATCAAGCTGAGTGGTGCAGTTGACATGCCAGAAGGATGAGAGGTCATCCAAAGGGACCTGGACAAGCTGGAGAGGGGGGCCTGTGTGAACCTCATGAGGTTCAACAAGGCCAAGTGCAAGGTCCTGCACCTGGACTGGGACAACCCCTGATACCAATACAGGCTGGGGGATGAAGGGATTGAGAGCAGCCCTGTGGAGAAGGGCTTGGGGGTACTGGTGGATGAAAAGCTGGACAAGAGCCAACAATGTGCGCTTGCAGCCCAGAAAGCCAACTGCATCTTGGGCTGTATCAAAAGAAGCGTGGCCAGCAGGTCGGGGAAGGTGATTCTGCCCCTCTGCTCTGGTCACCAGACCAGAGAGACCTCACCTGGAGTACTGCATCCAGCTCTGGAGCCCTCAGCACAAGAAGGACATGGACCTGTTGGAGCGGGTCCAAAGGAGGGCCACCAAAATAATCCGAGGGCTGGAGCACCTCTCCTACGAGGCCAGGCTGAGGGAGCTGGGGTTGTTCAGCCTGGAGAAGAGAAGGCTGCGAGGAGACCTTATTGTGGCCTTTCAATACTTAAAGGGGGCCTATAGGAAGGATGGGGACAATCTTTTTAGCAAAGCCAGTTGTGACAGGAGGAGGAGTAATGGTTTTAAGTTAAAGGAGGATAGATTTAGCCTGGATATAAGGAAGAAATTTTTTTACAGTGAGGGTGGTGAGCCCTGCCATGGGTTGCCCAGAGAGGTGGTGGAGGCCGCATCCCTGGAAACATTCAAGGTCAGGTTGGATGGGGCTCTGAGCAACCTGATGTGGTTAAAGCTGTCCCTGCTCACTGCAGGGGGGTTGGGCTAGATGACCTCTAAAGGTCCCTTCCAACCCAAAGCATTCTGTGATTCTTCATATAGTATTTTGTGACCTGTGTGATCATGGTGGAAATCTTTTCTGAATGAATGAATTCTAATCTTAGGAGGCTGAAAAGGAAGCATAAACTGTGATAAGATGAATAGCTTTGGAATTTCATAAGCAATTGTCACTACTGTCCAAGGCAAGTAGGGATGGATGGCCACTGTTTTTCTGTTTCTTATCAGTTAAGTCTCTCTTATCATAGCCATCATTCAGAGGTTGGTAGAACTCAGACCAGAAATTCAGTGTGTTGTTGACTGATGATGATGATTGCTAAATCAATACCCCTGTTAATTGGCATGAGGAGAAATCGGGTAGTAAAAGCTCTTTCTCCAGCTGTAGAATAGAAAGTGATTTGTATGTCATGCTGTATGCCTTGACTCTCTGAAGATCTGCTGGAGAAGTCACGTGCAATTCGTCAAGCCAAAGAGGAGAGAACCTTCCACATCTTTTACTACCTGCTGTCTGGGGCAGGCGAGCATTTGAAGAGTAAGTATGGTTTTGTAGTTATGGGGTTTCCTCATCACAATGACAGAGGGTCCAAAACACTTGTAGGCTAGGACCTGTTCTTTCATAGTTTCTTGGCTCTTGCCTTTTAGATGTGGTCACCTCGCCTCCGCTTCTGTACACTCGTACATCCTTCTGTCCTCCCCCTGCACTTCTCAGTTCCCGAAAACTTGCTTCTCTGGTTCCTTCCTGCACTTGTCTCCTTGCCAGCAATGACTCTACGCCCTTTCTTATCTAAATCACTGTCCCATGTTTAGTCTCATCTTGCATGATGTAAACCCTTCTAGCACAGGAATGGTCCTACTGTGATGTGCTCAGCATTTAACTGAATGGAGGAAAGCTGCTGGCACCTAAGCAGCTCTAGAAGTCTAGGATCCTAGTGCACCTAGCTCAGCCTGGTAATCAGGGTCCATGTTTTGCGAGAGCTGCAGATTATTTGGGAGGAAGGACAGGAAGAGAAGACTTTTTTCGTAGTTGCTACTGTTTCAAGAGCTATACATTAACTTTCACCTGACTTGAAACAAATGAGGTGTCTGAAATTAAAGGCAAATCTACTTTCAAGTTAATCCCTGCTTCTTACAGACTTAGGGCATAATGATGATTGACACTGCTTTGGTGGAGTAGTCCAGAGGAGTGAATAGAAAGAAAGAAGGCAGAAAACCTCTCATTTTACATAAAATACATTAAATGTTCAGCCTGCAGTGAAACTGGGCTTAATCCCAGATTGATCCAGCACCTGCTAGCATATGCAAGTCAGAAATTTGATCTCAGTGGTAGCTTGTTGTCTATTTAAAAAAAAAAAAACCAAGCCATAGTAACTTCTTTCTCAATTCTTTCCTAAGCTGACCTGCTGCTGGAGCCTTACAACAAATATCGCTTCCTTTCCAATGGGCATGTTACGATCCCGGGTCAGCAAGACAAAGATATGTTTCAGGAGACTATGGAGGCAATGAAGATCATGGGCATCCCAGATGAGGAGCAGATGGGTATGAATCCTTTGAAGGGCTTGAAAATGCAAAGAAGTGGAAGAGGGAACAGTTCATATCTTTCTGGAGCTTTTTGTTCTCGGGTTCTTTTGTTTGTTTATTTTGGGCTTTTTGCTGGTTTTGGTTTGTCTGGTGTCCACCCCCTGCCACCGAGTGAACAGTGTGCAAGTAATAAACTTAGTGGCTTTGGTGTGACCCACCTCAGGATCTACCAGCACAGTTTCAGTTTATACAGTTAATGTTAGAAGTCAAGCAGCTAATGAAAACATGCTTCTGCTTACTGTTTTTGTTCCAAATCTGGGGGCTGTATATCCAGTTCATGCATAACACACACAAGATACAAGAATCCCCTCATTCTCTTATGCAGTGCATGGCTTGTGTGCTCCCCCTATCCCTCTGCAGTGGCTTTAAAGTATCTAATCCAACCATTGCTGGATTAGTACTTTGAGAACAGCCTGGTCATAGTGCCTTTCTTCCCAGCTTAACACTGAACTGCTGATCAGAAATTAATATTGTCTGATTCTGGGAGCACAGTACCATGACAGTGAAGCTAGAATTGTATGCAGCCAGCGCAAAGTGCAGTGATACGTATTCACCAGAGCTCAGTGCTCTCATTCGTGATCTGCCTCGCTGGTTGGGAACCAGTGTTCTGCAAAATCACGGTATCTGAATGTATAAGGTCTTCTAAAACTAGGACTGTTTTTTCTCTACACTGAAGCAAGCATCTGTGGTGGTTTGAGGTCACCACCTCTGCTGGAGGCTGCAGTTCTTATGGCTGTAGGGAATATGTGCCTGTGCCTTAACTATTGTTCTTCACAGTCCAGCCTGCTATAAATCCATGCTGTCATTATCCACAGTTTAATACACTTCTTGATATCCTGAATCATGTGAGACTGAAACTGCTGTATGGAGGTCAAGAGAAATATGCTGTCGTGGTTTAGCCCCAGCCAGCAACTAAGCACCA